ACTCACGACCATAGTTGAGCCCATTATTAGCATCATTAAATCGCTGCTCTCATTAGGCAAGGCACCCTTGCAATCCCAGCCCTCCACATTGCAGTCATCATGTGAGCATGGGATGCCTCAGGCAGTGGAGAAGCTGTGGTTGCCGAACAAATGGTCGTATGTTGAGGACAACCTGTATCCATTCCAGAGGTGGGGAGGGAAAAAAACCCAACAACAACCGAGTACAGGTAGTCCTCCACTGATGAGCACAATTGAGTCCAACATTTCTGTTGCTCAGTGAGACAGTTAAGTGAACTTTGCTTCATTTTACAACCTTTCCTGTCACAGTTGTTAAGTGAACCACTGGAGTTCTTAAGTTAGTAACACGGCTATTAAGTGAATCTGGCTTCCGCATTGGCTTTGCTGGTCAGTTGCTAAGCATCTTTTGATCACATGACTCTGGAGATGCTGCAGTGGTGGTAAAGGTGAAGAATGATGATAAATTACTGAATGCCGTTGTAACTTTGAACAATCATTTAACAAACGGTTGTAAGTGGAGGACTGCCTGTATCCAATTGCATTTTTGGTGCTATTGCTGCCCTTACCCTGGCAGGAGAAGGTGGCTTTTCCAGGAAATGCTTGCCGTTACTCACAAGATTGGGCTTTTTTCCCCACCGCAGACGTATGCTGAGATGGATCCTACCACAGCAGCTTTGGAGAAGGAACACGAAGCAGTGAGTGTTTATCCGTACCTGTCCTAGCTGTGTCTGGCTTGAAATCTGAAGAGTTTTGGAAAAGGGAGTATTACAAGCCGTGGCGGTACAGTGGTCAGAATGCAGTATTGCAGGCTAACTCTGCCGACTGCCAGCAGTTCGATCCTGACTGGCTCAAGGTTGACTCAGCCTTCCATCCTTCCGAGGTCGATGAAATGAGGACCCAGATTGTTAGGGGCAATAGGCCGACTCTGTAAAACCGCTTAGAGAGGACTGTAAAAACTATGAAGCGGTATATAAAGTCTTAAGTGCTATGTGTCATGTGTCTGATTAACGAAACACTTAAAAGGACTTTCAGGCATATTTTTTCCTAAAAGCATTTATTAAGGTTACAGAGACGTCAGTACAGCATGGTGGAAATGCTTAGGTCTGGCTTCTCTTCCGTTAGGCATATACATTCTAAGCATTTCCCACTCCCTTTTTTTGGGGTCATGGTTCACATCTTCCAATCAACTTGGAAGATGTGATTTACTTCCGGTTTCTTTTTCCCGGGCTATCCTTATTCTCCTCCCTTTTTCCCTGTTGCCTGGTTTAACTATAAAAATACCAGACAGTTCTGCATATTGTCAAAGCAAGAATATACAGTATTTGCAGCGTTGATACTATGGCTATTACTGTCTTTGTAGGACGCCGCTTACTTTTGTCTCCCTCTCAGATCACCAAAGTGAAATATGTGGACAAAATCCATATCGGGAATTACGAGATTGACGCTTGGTATTTCTCACCATTCCCAGAAGACTACGGGAAGCAGCCCAAGCTGTGGATCTGCGAATACTGCCTCAAGTATATGAAGTTTGAGAAGACTTACCGCTATCACCTTGTACGCAAGGGGGAAGGATAGTTGCCAGAGGGCTGGGGAAGGTTGGGGTGGGAGAGAATTGAGCACCAGAGAGCCTGTAAGCCAGACATGTCAAACACAAGGCCCGGGGGGCTGGATGCGGCCCGCGACGTTTCATGTGGCCCGCGAAGCCATCCTGGAAACAGTGAGGGAACGGCCCCCGTTGCCTTGGCCCTGGCCCAGGCCAGCCGGGAGCCAATGTACAATTTTGTGATGGGCATCTATGCTGAAACGCATTCACTCTTAGCTCCACAAGGCCATCTGGAAACAGTGAGGAACCAGCCCCTGCCGCGTCGGCCCCGCCTCCTGGGTGCATGCTGGGGAGGTGTCACCCTTTGTGAGGAATGAAGAAATGCATCATCGCCTGGAAGTGGCCAGCAAATGGCCCTTGCCTACTTCACATATCCGGCTTGATGGGCTCCGGGGGAGTGGTTTCGGCAGACTCTTCCAGTGGACCATGCCTTGGTGCTTACCCTGATCCCACCCCCTTCTGCCAGAGACCCTCAGATCTGTCCCACTCCAGCCCAGGCCCCCACAGGCACCCTTGACGCGAACGATGTAGAGCTAGCCATGCCCACCCAGTAGGCCGCACCCACTCCAGCCATGCCCACCCAGTAGGCCACGCCCACCCTGGCCACACCTACACACCCCCCCCCCGAGGACAACCGCAATGCTGATGCGGCCCTCAATGAAATTGAGTTTGACACCCCAGCTGTAAGTGGAATGAAACACTTATCAAAAAGAGAAAATGGCATCTGGGGATCAGTGCATATCAGTATATTTGAACTTGTGTACGGATACTCGACTTAACAATCGCAGTGGGGACCAAAATTTCGGTCACTAAGCGAAACTTTTGTTCAATGAATTTTGCCCCATTTTACGACCTTTCCAATTTGTTAGGTGAATCACTGCAGTTGTTATAGTAGTAACTGGTTGTTAACGAATCCCGCTTCCCCCATTGACTGCTTGCCAGAGAGTTGCAAAAGGTGATCACAGGATGCCAGGACACAGCAACGGTCATAAATATGAGTCAGTTGTTGCCAAGTGGCTGAATTTTGATCCCATGGCCATGGGGAATGCCGCAGTGATTGTAAATGTGAAAAATAGTCTCAAGTCACTGTTTTTCAGTGCCATTGTAACTTTGAACAATGATTAAATGAACATGATGAAGTTGAGGATTACTAAATGAAATTGAGGATTACCTGTATTTAGTTTCAGTATTTTCAATGTTGCCAACTGGAAAAATCTAAACGATGCTAAAATGAAACTGGAGAAAAATAATCAGGTCAAAAGACAAATAGATGCAAAAGGTGCATTGAACTGGTTCGTAGGTGAAATTCCTCAGGGGGAAAAAAAAAACCCCATAGATGCCTGTCATTTTTGGTACCCATAGCTCTTCTTATCGTTGCTTCAGGGCCAGTGTCAGTGGCGACAACCACCAGGGAAAGAAATCTACCGCAAAAACAACATCTCGGTATATGAGGTGGATGGCAAAGATCACAAGGTAAGAGACCATATCAGCTCCGGGGTTTCCACTAAGCTGTTACTGTGTTCATTTTTTGTGGTCTAGGCCAGGGCTTTTCAACCAGTGGTACGGGTACCACCTGTGGTACTTTGGCACTTGGCAGGTGGTACACGACCATCCAAGAAAAGTGGTAGCAGGGGAGGGGAATGAACTGAACCGGTGGCAGCACCGCACAAGCCTGAGCGAGAGACGACTGGAGCTGCAGGGCTGTCAGGGCTCAGCGGAAGCGCCAGGATCAGCGCCAGGCTCCAGCTGGAGCTCGGCGCTGATCATGGCGCTTCTGCTGAGCCCAGAAGAAGCGCCGATCAGCTGGAATGTTGCAGCATCTCCAGGGTCTTGTGATTTACATCAACTAATTCATATTTATGACGGTCACAGTGTCCCAGGGTCATGTGAAGTGACCAAAACCTGCTGCAACCACCCATCCGACGGGGGAATAAAAACCAAACACCCCCCCCATCCCACCCCACTGCCAATCCTCAACAGAAATGCTCACAACAATGAAAACCTCAGACAGGAGGAAGAGCGCCGCTGGGCGGGCAGGCAGGTGTCTTGCTCGGCTGTGGCTTGGCGGGCAATTTTTTCAGTGCCATTGTAACGTCGAACAGTCACTAAGCGAACTGTTTAAGTCGAGGACTACCTTTACTTTATCACTTTTTTCTTTTGGGGGGGTCATCAAGTTTTTGACACCTTGCTAGGCGACTGGTGGTACTCGGATGTTGCCATATCCTAAAAGTGGTACAATGGGTGAAAAGGTTGAAAAGCCCTGGCCTAGGTGGCAAGCTTGCTATTTTGGGAACCTGGCATTTGCCATCTTCACTGTTTGGAAAATCTGGTTCATCAGATAGAAAGCCAGTCACTCAGCAGAGTCATAAACAGTCATTAACTACTATATAATTTTACCTCTCCCCACATTTGCAAGTTGCTTTTAAATAAGCCAACCTACACAGGTAGTCCTCAACTTACGACCGCAACTGAGCCCAACCTTTCTGCTGCTGAATGACAGGGGTTAAGCGAATTTTGACCTTTCTTGCTGCAGCTAGTAAGTGAAACACAGTTGTTAACAACATGGTTGTTACGTGAATCTGGTTTCTCCCTTGACTTTGCTTGTCAGAAGGTTGCAAAAGTTGACCGGGACACTGCAACTGTCATAAATATGAGTCAGTTACCAAACATCTGAATGTTGATCGCGTGACCACAGGGGGTGCTGCAATGGCCGTAAGTGTGAAAAATGGTAATAAATCACTTTTATTATTGTCATTGTAACTTTGAACGGTCCCTAAATGAACTTGTTGTAAGTCGAAGACTACCTGTATGCAGGTAAAGTTTGTGTGGGCCAATAGCCTCGAACCTTCAATCTTTTGATATAGAAGTAGCTACATCAAAGATGGCAAATTACATGGAACACGGTGCCAACAGGTCTATGGAGATTCTCAGTTATCCAGGTCAGGGGTCCTCAAGCTCGGCAACTTTAAGACTTGTGGACTTCAACTCTTCAATTCTGGGAGTTGAAGTCCACAAGTCTTAAAGCTGCCAAGTTGAGGACCCCTGATCCAGGTCATACCGTGTTTCCCCGAAAATCCTAGCTTGATTTTTACGTTTGCGCCTAATATAAGCCCTATCCTCAAAATAGTTTTGGGCTGAGGCGCACACATAAAAATCAAGCTAGGGCAGGGGTGGGGGGTGCAGCTGCCCCACGCGCCCTGCAGCCACTTAGGACCGCTGCAGCCAGGCCTCCCATGCGCCAACATCTGTCGCGTTGCTGCCCGAGTTCTTCGGCCGCTCATGGCTGGACACGTGGCGCTTCGCACCAGTGCCACCACTCATGGCAGGAGGCCGCGTGGCGCATCGCGCCAGTGCCACTGCTCACACGCACGGCGGTGCAATGCGCCACACGGCCTGCCTGGCACGATGTGCCATGCGGCATCTGGCCGCAAGCGGCCGCAGAACTCAAGCAGCAGCGTGCCAGGGCGTGGGAGGCCTGGCTGCAGCAGTCCTAAAGTAAGCGGGTGCATGGCACGTGCTCAAGTCCCCACCCCCGCCCTAGCTTATTTTTACACGTGCTGAAGCTTCTTGGATGAGAAGCAAAACATTTTTCAAAGAAAAAAAAAATCCAGTTGTCTTGTGACAGTACTAACAAAAGCATTCTTTGAGAGTTGTCCAGAATTTCTAAAGGATGTATCTTAAAAACAAGCAAATGACTCACTGAGCAAATAAGCTCAGAGTTGTGACTCAAGGCGCAAAATGGCCAAGCTCAAATTATCCTACCGCAGACATATTATGTAAACGACTCAGCTCTGTGGAGAAGGCTCTGATGCCAAGAGAAAGACGAACTTCGGGAAGATGGAGGGTCTCTATTACGGTGGTGATATCTGCACCATTGGAAGTCCTGAAGGACCAGTTGGGGGACAAATGGAAAAGGTCCATGTAGGCGCTAAGAGTTGATGCAAGTTTGGCAGCACATACTAACTAAACGCAGTGTTTCTCAACCTTGACAATTTTAAGGCATGTGGACTTCAACTCGCAGAATTCCACAGCCAGCAATGCTGGCTGTGGAATTCTGGGAGTTGAAGTCCACATGCCTTAAAATTGTCAAGGTTGAGAAACGCTGAGCTAAAGGGTGCCAGGTTGGAGAAGGGCAGTCTTAAGCGTGAATAGCAATATGGAGTTTTAAGATATTTAATTTAATAACTGGAACAGTAAAGTGTATAATGGGCCAGAGCACACAGTTGTGGTTGATTGATTGGACAGTGCGAGCTCCTGCATGAGGCAATCTACATTATGATTGGTTGCTGCTTGAGAAGGGGGAGTTTCCCTTTTTCTTCTATGTGCTCTGTTTGCTGTTCTGTGATTTACCTCATGATTTACCTCATGATCTTAGCGTGTATCTGTCTATCTTATCTGCTGTAAATATAAATGTAAAATATATTTATTTATATAACAGTACAAGTCAGCGTCTTTGACTCCATTTTGGACACCGGCTGCTCAGTTCCCTGACACGAAGGCTCTTCTATTGAACTATTACTGCAGAAAAAATCATACTTAAGTACTGGTTGCATCTAAATTTTGAGAAGACCAATCCAGGAAGTTATGGAATGTATGAGACACTGTAGAACACGGGTCTTCAAACTTGGCCCTTTTATGACTTGTGGACTTCCAACTCCCAGAATTCCTCAGCCAGGCACGCTGGCTGAGGAATTCTGGGACTTGAAGTCCACAAGTCATAAAAGGGCCAAGCTTGAAGACCCCTGCTGTAGAACAATGTTTCTCAACCTTGGCAAGTTGAAGAGGTGTGGACTTCAACTCCCAGAATTCCCCAAAGTTGGCTGAGGAATTCTGGGAGTTGAAGTCCACACATCTTCACCTTGCCAAGGTTGAGAAGCACTGCTGTAGAATATGAAATGCAACCAGAGAATTCATTTTCTTTTCAAAGAATCAAACTTCAGGATGATTGCAAATCGGGGTGGGCAAAATGATAATTCTGGGGCGCAAGACCAGCCCTGAAACAGGCCTGTGTCATCCAGAATTGCTTCCAGAAGACTGTCAGGCTGCTCACAGAATGGCCCAGATAGGCCTGATTCAAAGAAGGAACCATTGAGTTTACAAATACCTATTTGTGAGGTTCAAAAGAAGGCACCTTACACAAAGTTTATTTTTTCTTACATGCATTCTTGGCTTTTTGAACAAGTTGGAGATACTGTCTCTCACTCTAGAACAGGGCTTTTCAACTTTTTCACCCATTGTACTTTTTTAGGATATGGCACTATCCAAGTACCACCAATCGCCTAGCAAGGTGTCAAAAACGTGATGACCAAAAAAAAAAAAAAAAAGGAAAAAAGTGAATAAAGTACAGGTAGTCCTCGACTTACAACAGTTCGCTTAGTGACTATTCGAAGTTACAATGGCACTGAAAAAAATGCCCCCCCCCAAGGCACAGCTGAGCAAGACACCTGCCTGCCCACCCGGCGGCGCTCTTCCTCCTGTCCGAGGTTTTCATTGTTGTGAGCATTTCTGTTGCGGATTGGCAGCGGGGGTGGAGTGGAGGGTGTTTGGTTTTTATTCCCCCCGTCTGCTGGGTGGTTGCAGCAGGTTTTGGTCACTTCACATGACCCTGGGACACTGTGACCGTCATAAATATGAATCAGTTGCCAAGCATCTGAATGTAAATCACAAGACCCTGGAGATGGTGCAACATTCCAGCTGATCAGTACTTCTTCTGGGCTCAGCAGAAGCGCCAGGATCAGCACCGAGCTCCAGCTGGAGACTGGCGCTGATCCTGGCGCTTCCGCTGAGCCCTGACAGTCCCGAAAAAGCGCTGATCCTGGCGCTTCCGCTGAGCCCTGACAGCCCTGCAGCTCCAGCCATCTCTTGCTCAGGCTTGTGCGGTGTTGCCACCGGTTCAGCTCATTCCTCTCCCCCACTACCACTTTTCTTGGATGGTCGCGTACCACCTGCCAGGTGCCAATGTACCACAGGTGGTACCCGTACCACTAGTTGAAAAGCCCTGCTCTAGAAAACCAAGTTTTAATTTTAGATAAGTTATAGTTGTGAATGAAATTCTCTTCTTTTAGAAAGTTTATTTCAGAGACACTTGTTTGTTTGTTTGTTTGTTTGTTTCAATAAGGAATGGGCCAACACTCCTCTTTCTCCTCTTTGCTCCTGGATTTCACATTTTTTTGTCTGAAGCCTATGTCCTTATTGCTCCTTTCCCCCCCAGATTTATTGCCAGAATTTGTGTCTTTTGGCCAAACTATTCCTGGATCATAAGACCCTCTACTTTGACGTGGAGCCCTTTGTCTTCTACATCCTTACTGAGGTGGACAGGCAAGGAGCCCACATCGTTGGCTACTTTTCCAAGGTACTGACTGCTGGTCTTCACGGGAGGGAGAATGCATTGTAACTAGCTTTGTGATCGGAAAAGTGGATAAATTCTACGGCCGTGCGAAATATTTTGTGCGCTACTGGTTTTAGGTGCTTTGTGTCTCTAAGTTTGTGTCAGCGTCTTTGGCTCCATTTGGACCCCTGCTGCTCAGTTCCCTGACATGGAGGCTCTTTGGGGTCTTTTGTCCTGTAGACTAAAACACAGTTGCTTTAAGCACAAGTGCTTTGGGATAGATGTGAACAGGGGGGAAAGTCAAGGAGAACAGTGGTGATGGGTGAGAGAAGACCCTAGGACTGTGGTGGCAAACCTATGGCACGCGTGCCAGAGGCAGCACTCAGAGCCCTCTCTGTGGGCATACGCGCCATGTCCCGGAGATGGCAACCGTCCCTCTTCAACCAGCCGCCCGCTAACTCACCAAGGTCCCACGTGGCCGGATGCATCCCAGCACGGCTGGATTCCCTCCCCCCTGTCCCATCCCTCCTGGCCTCGCATGCTCTCCTTTTCCCGGGCACGACCCACCGCATCCCCTCCTCAGCTGTCGGCCAGCCGTCCAACTCAGAGGCGGCTTCTCTGAATTGCTGGCGGCGGGCTGTGGAGCCCCAGAGTGCGCCTGTCGAGGGTCCGGCAGACCATGGCTGCTGACAGACACTGTCGGCCCCCGTGCGCTCGCTGGCCTCTGTGTGCAGGGGCCGATGGTGTCAGGCAGCAGCCGCCCTGGCCCCTGCCTTGCCTTACCCTACGACAATGGCACCCCCGCCCTGCCTCGCCTCACCCCGCAGGACGAGCCTCCTGCCCACTGTCCCACCTGCCAGAGACCCCCTGGGTCTCCCCCAACCCTGCCCCGCCCCACAGGCATCCCTCCCCACGAGCAACATCGAGGTGACCATGCCCACTTTGGCCGCACCCACCCAGTCTGCCATGACCACCACAGCCACGCCCACCCAGTGGGCCACGCCCACCCCGCACCCGGCGATAAATAAGTGGGTTTTGGGTTGCAGTTTGGGCACTCGGTCTCTAAAAGGTTCGCCATCACTGCCCTAGGAAGATTGGGAGGGACAAGAAGGCCACAGGGACATCAGGAGTGATTATGGGGAGGGAGAGAAGGAAAGGGTCTGGAAGATCAGGGCCATATGAAGATCAGGAGTTTTTACAAGAGCGGCCATGTATACTGGTCCTATCCACTCCATCCATGTCTTATTTTGTATTCAATTATCCGAGCATTCTGGCTCTCAGTTCTACAGAACCATGGCTGATCCAAATAATTCAGCAAATCTTCCAAATTAAGAGTTTTAGTTAACTTTTTCCCGTGTGAGCACTTAGAATCTTATTTCTGTGTGTTTAAAATTAGTGTCTGGTAAGAAAAGCTCAGAAGAAAATACAGTTTAAGAAACATGACAGGGAAAGAGAGAAGAAGAAATTACTCCCTGTGTGTGTGTTTTTGTGTGTGTGTGTGTGTGTGTGTGTGTGAAAGGGAGAGATCTTGGCGTGTCTGGTTTCCTCTGAAATCTGCAATACCTCACTTGGAAAACTTTAACCACGGACATAAGGAACATTTTATTGCCGCGAAAATTCAGCGTAATATTAAAAACCTGCAATGGAGCAGACTCCATAACAAAAATCTGTGTGAAGAATTGGACTGAATTGAAGTCCACACACAATCCTGGAATTGTGCAGTGTCAATCACTATGAGTCTGAAAAGCCCGATGGCAGTGATGGCGAACCTTTTAGAGACCGAGTGCCCAAAATGCAACCCAAAACCCACTTATGCATCGTCGGGTGCCGGGTGGGTGTGGCCCATTGGGTGGGTGTGGCCAATTGGGTGGGTGTGGCTGCGGTGGTAACGGCAGACTGGGTGGGACTAAAAAGTTCAATCAATCAATTCCAACTTTGCAAGATCTTTTTTTTTCCCCGCAAGAAGTTGAAATTGACTGATTGATTGGTTTTACAAATTTTATTAATTTTCAAATAAACAAGTTCTTAATACAAATATGGTGCACATAAAAAANTTCCTACCTACTTCCCTCTTCCTTTCCTCCCCTCCTACCCACACCTCTCTCCTCTTTCTCTTCCAACTACCCTACACATCCCACACATCAGACTGAGTGGGACTAAAAAATTCAATCAATCGATTCCAACTTTGCAAGATCTTTTTTTTCCCCCGCAAGAAGTTGAAATTGACTGATTGATTGAACCTTTTTTTTTTTTGCACACAGCGGCGGAGGCCTAAAGCAAAAAGGTTTTATAAGACCCAGCTGAAGGCCTAGGACTGGGGCTACGGCGCGCGTGCCCACAGAGAGGGCTCTGAGTGCCGCCTCTGGCACCCGTGCCATAGGTTCACCACCACTGCCCGACGATCATAGGTTGCTCTTAGAATTAAATTGGAAAAGAACCTGATAGGCAGACTACCTTGAGCTTTTGGATGATCAATGGAGTGTACATGTAATAAGTAATTTAAAAATATATAAGGAAGGAAGGTGATAAATAAATCAGTATCAAGATCAGCTTAGAGAGAGTTTGCAGCAGGAGAGCAAGCATGGATTTTATCCGTGTCAGTGGAGCGAGCTTTTCTCCAAAGTTACCTTTAGAGTTGCCAGATATAATGGGTGCAATTGGTGACTATTTTTAAAAGAAATAATGATTTTCTGGATGTTGATTTCTCTGCTTAAGGCTAGATTTCATAACATTTACCTGACTCCTGTGATTTCTTTTCCCTTCTAGGAAAAGGAATCCCCAGATGGAAATAACGTCGCTTGTATTCTAACCTTGCCCCCTTACCAGAGACGGGGCTATGGGAAATTCCTCATCGCATTCAGTAAGCTGTTCTTTTCTCAAGCCATGAATGATAAAAATGAATTGCAGAGTTGATTTATCAGTCTCTTAATTGCTTCCTGGTGATGGATCTGTAGATAGATCTATTGTGTGTCCCCACCCACCCACCCTCCCCGGTGACAAGTTAACTTCTGTTGCATCTGCCCTACCTCCTCCCCCCCCTTTTGTAACACCCCTGCTATCCTGATCGCTTTAGGGCAGGGGGTCTTCAAACGTGGCCCTTTTATGACTTGTGGACTTCAACTCCCAGAATTCCTCAGCCAGAGTCACGGTGCTAAGTATTTAGTCCAGTGACGGCGAACCTTTTAGAGACCGAGTGCCCAAACTGCAACCCAAAACCCACTTATTTATCGCCGGGTGCCCGTTGGGCATGGCCCACTGGGTGGGCATGGCTGTGGTGGTCATGGCAGATTGGGTGGGTGTGGCCAAGGTGGGCATGGTCACCTTGATGTTGCTCATGGGGAGGGACGCCTGTGGGGGCCAAGCAGGGTTGGGGGAGATCCAGGGGGTCTCTGGCAGGTGGGGCAGTGGGCAGGAGGCTTGTCCTGTGGGTGAGGCGAGGCAAGGTGGTGCCATTGTCACAGGGCAAGGTGAGACGGGCTGGGGCGGCTGCTGCCTGACACCATCGGCCCTGCACCCAGAGGCCAGCGAGCGCATGGGTGCTGGGATGCATCTGGCCATGTGGGACCTTAGCGAGTTAGCAGGTGGCTGGTTGAAGAGGGATGGTTGCCATCCCCAGGGCATGGCACGTGTGCCCACAGAGAGGGCTCTGAGTGCCGCCTCTGGCATGTGTGCCATAGGTTCGCCACCACTGTGATAGTAGATGTTGAGAAATGGCATCAGAAGCAGAGAAGCGGGTGGGGCAGTGGGTAGAAGGCTCGTCCTGCGGGTTGAGGCGAGGCAGGGCGGGGGTGCCATTGTCACAGGGCAAGGTGAGGCAGGGACCGGGGCGGCTGCTGCCTGACACCATCGGCCCACACACACACAGACCAGCAAGCGCACGGGGGCCGACAGTGTGTCAGCAGCCATAGCCTGCCGGCCGCTCGACCAGCGCACTCTGGGGCTCCGCAGCCCACCCCCAGCAGTTCAGAGAAGCTGCCTCTGAGCTGGACGGACGGCCGACAGCTGAGGAGGCGATGCGGTGGGTCGTGCCAGGGAAAAGGAGAGCATGCAAGGCCAGGAGGGATGGGACGGGGGGAGGGAAACCAGCCATGCTGGGATGGATCCGGCCATGTGGGACCTCAGCGAGTTAGCGGGCGGTTGGTTGAAGAGGGATGGTTGCCATCTTTGGGGCATGGCGCGCGTGCCCACAGAGAGGGCTCCCGAGTGCCGCCTCTGGCACCCGTGCCATAGGTTCGCCACCACTGATTTTAGTCCTTCCATTTTGAAGTTCACTTTATTAAAAGAGTCTGATCTGGCCTGAGCTTTTCCTTGCCCTCGAAATGCCTGGATTGTGAACCGAGACGCTTTTGAGGCCTTGACTTCTGGTTCTCTTCCTCCCCAGGCTACGAGCTCTCCAAACTTGAAAGCACCGTGGGATCCCCCGAGAAGCCCCTTTCGGACCTCGGCAAGCTGAGCTACCGCAGCTATTGGTCCTGGGTATTACTAGAGATCCTTCGGGATTTCCGAGGCACCCTTTCCATCAAGGATCTCAGGTAAGAGGAGGTTTGACTACTAGTCAGTTTATAGAACTGTTTGTGAGATGTAAATAAAAGCCCTTCCGGCACAGTGCTTAAAGCGCAGTATTGCAGACAAAGTCTGCAGCGGCCACCACATTTTCCAGACTTACAAAAAAGAGTATGGCTTAATAAGAAGTGGACAGAACATACAAAGGTCGAGGTCTGTAGAGCCTGCGTCTTGAGCACACTCTTGTACTGCAGTGAGTCTTGGTCCCTTCACGTACGGCAGGAGAGAAAGCTGAACACTTTTCACATGCGCTGTCTCCGATGTATTCTCGGCATCACCTGGCATGACAAAGTCCCAAATAGCGCAGTCCTGGAAGGTGCTGGAATCTCTAGCATGTATACACTATTGCAGGGGTGTCAAACTCAATTTCATTGAGGGCCGCATCAGCATTGCGGTTGCCCTCAGGGGGCTGGGTGGGTGCGGCCTACTGGGTGGGCGTGGATGGAGTGGGTGTGGCCTGCTGGGTGGGTGTGGCCAGCTCTAAATCTTTCGCGTCAAGGGTGCCTGTGGGGGCCTGGGCAGGAGTGGGACAGATCTGAGGGTCTCTGGCAGAAGGGGGTGGGACCAGGGCAAGTGCCAAGGCATGGTCCACTGGAGGAGCCTCACTGTTCCTCTCAGGCCATGGAGGGGGGGGGCTTATGGAGCTAAGACTGAATGCGTTTCAGCATAGATGGCCACCACAAAATTGTACATTGGCTCCCGGCTGGCCTGGGCCAGGGCCAAGGCAGCGGGGGCCATTCCTTCACTGTTTCCAGGATGGCTTCGCGGGCCACATGAAAGCACTTCGCGGGCTGCATCCAGCCCCCGGGCCTTGTGTTTGACATGTCTGCACTATTGAAACAGTGACACCTATGCTGGCTTGGGCATGTCGTGAGAATGTCGTGAGATCTCCTGTATGGAGCACTAGTGCAGGGAAAGCGCCCCAGAGGGAGACCTGAGCTGCGATATAAGGATATCTGCAAGAGGGACCTAAAGGCCTTGGGAATGGACATTAACAGCTGGGAATCCTTGACCTCTGATCGTTCAGCCTGGAGGCTAAAGACATAGACTTCTCCAATTTGAAGAGACACTTGTGCAGCAGGCTGAGGCAAAGAGGCAGTCCCGGAACCAGTGAAATCTGGGGGCTGGACAGGGGACAGATTGTATCTGCCCTCAGTGTGGAAGGGACTGCCATTCTCGAATTGGCCTTTTCAGCCACACTAGATGCTGCCTTAGGACCTCTTTCCAGAGCACGATACCATAGTCCAGTGATGGCGAACCTTTTTAGAGACCGAGTGCCTAAAAACTGGCCCCGCCCCTGCTCCACCCCTACCCCCCCGCCCCCCCATCTCCCACCCCACCTGCCCGCAGGGCCACTCACCGCCTCCAGGGCCCGCCACAGATCACCCAGGCAGCCCAGCAGCGCCATGGCGGCCACGGCCTCTGCCCACGCCCTGCAGCATCAACTGCACGATGGGGCGTGAGGGCAGAGCCTTGTCTACGCTGCCTGGCTGCCATGTCCTTGGCTGCGCTGCTCCGCGTGGGCCACGCTCAGGCGACTCTCCTCCAGGGGGGCTGCTGGAGAGGAGGGGGTCACGGGGGCAGATGAGGCTGGGGCAACGGCACGTGTGCCCACAGAGAGGGCTCCGAGTGCCGCCTCTGGCACCCATGCCATAGGTTCGCCACCACGGCCATAGTCTCTCGAGACTGAAGGATGCCAATAGAATAGAATTGCAGACTAACTCTGCTCACAGCCTGGAGTCTGATCCCGAAGGGGCTCAAGGTTGACTCCTTCCGAGGTCGGTAAAATGAGGACCTGGATTGTTTGGGGGGGGGCAATATAACCGACATTGTAAACATTCCAACCAGCAAAGTTAGTGGGGAAAGCCAGATTCGCTTCATGACCAGGCGGCGCCCTTAAAACAATTGCGGTGATTCGCTTAACCCGCCGTGGTAAAAGTCACCAAATTGGGCACGGCTCAACGGCGTACAGTAAGTGAGGCTGGTGCTGAGGGAGGACCGCGTGCCCTTCGGTGGCATCTTGATGGTGGAGCAGCCTGGATTGAGCGTTAATGAGGCCTATTTGAAAGGACCCCTGACCTCCCCTTATCTTGGACTCGTTTCCAGCTGACGTTGCGCGTGTTGTTGTTTCCCTTGGCACAGCCAGATGACGAGCATCACGCAGAACGACATCATCAGCACCTTGCAGTCCCTGAACATGGTCAAGTATTGGAAGGGGCAGCATGTGATCTGCGTCACTCCCAAGTTGGTGGAGGAGCATCTCAAAAGCGCTCAGTATAAGAAGCCGCCTATCACAGGTACCGCCGGACGGGGAAACGGTGGGCGGGACGCCCTAGTGATTAATCGTGCTCTCAAAAAGTCTGATGCGCGGCGTTAGATCCGCACGGGCTATTTAACGTGGTGGTGCTCCTCCTTCTCTTTCTCTCTTTGCCTGTGTACAATTTCCAGATCTGCAGGGAGGGCAGAACTGAAATCAACTCCTGCCAGATTGTTAACATTTGCTAGATTTAACTTCTGGGCCTGCAAGTCCCCAACCTTTTTTTTTTTGTTTGTTTGTCTATACAGTTCTTACAATAACTGCATTGTCTCTCGCTGACTTCCTTTTTAAGGCCACATGTCACCACCTGTTGCTTCTTCAAATTCCCAGTTTTAACTGTTCTCATGCTGGTGTTTTCTGTCTTTTTAGCTTTCTTGCGCGGGTGTGGGTACGTCTGTTTTTTCTCTGAAACATATGTACGTAGTCCTCAACTTAACAACAGTTCATTTAGTGACCATTCGAAGTTACAACGGCACTGGAAAATGTGATTTATGACCCTTGTTCACAGTTACAACCTTTGCAGCATCCCCCTGGTCAGGTGATCAGAATTCGTACTTATGACCTTCACCTGATCACTTTTGGCGACCTTCCGACCGGCAAAGTCAGTGGGGAAGCCAGATTCACTTTAACAGCCTGGTTACTAACTAATCAACTGCCGTGATTTCACTTAACAACTGTGGCAAAAAAAGGGGCAAAACTCACTTAACAAATGTCTTACTTAACAACAGAAATTTGGGCCTCAGTTGTGGGTCGTAAGTCGAAGACTGCCTGTAGTTTTTCCAGATTTTCAGTGCTCTAAAGTTCCTGAGAGCGATCTCTTTAAGCCCTAATTTTAATTCATTTAATGACCATTCAAAGTTACCCCAGTGCTGGAAAAAGTGACTTATGACCAGTCCTCACACTCGTGACCATTGCAGTGTCCCTGTGGTCCCTGTAATCAAAATTTGGGCACTTGGCAACCGGTCTGTATTCACGAGAGTTGCAGTGTCCAAAGGGTTGCGTGATTGCCATTTGTGACTTTTCCCTGGTGGTTTCCAAAATCTAAGTCAACGGAGGAAGCTGGTTACGGTTAATGTCCAGGTGATTTGCTTAATGACCGTGGTAGAAAGGTCGTAAAAAGGGGCACAACTCGCTTAATGACTGCATTGCTTAGCAGTAGTAGTTCTGGTACCAATTGTGGATGAGGGCTACCTGTAATTAATTCAGTTTCCCAATTTTTCCTTAAGCAGCATTCTTAAGAAGAACAGTTGTCAGGAATTGGGTACGTCTAGTTTAACGAAGAGAAGGATGAGGGGGGATATGATAGCCAGTGTTCCAGTATCTCAGGGGCTGCCCCAAAGAAGAGGGAGTCAAGCTATTCTCCAAAGCACCTGAAGGCAGGACAAGAAGCAACGGATGGAAACTAACCAAAGAGAGAAGCAACCTAGAACTAAGGAGAAACTTCCTGACAGTTAGAACAATTAACCAGTGGAACAACCTGCCTCCAGAAGCGGTGAATGCTTCAACACTGAAAGTTTTTAAGAAGAGACTGGACAGCCATTTGTCCGAAATGGTATAGGGTTTCCTTCCTGAGCAGAGGGTTGGACTAGATGACCTCCAAGGCCCCTTCCAACTTTATTATTTATTTATTTATTTATTTATCACTTGTTGCTTGTATGCACTGAGAGTCATAAAAGAGCCAAGGTTGCCTACCCCTGGTCTAGTTTAATGAAGAGAAGGACGAGGGGGGACATGATAGCAGTGTTCCAGTATCTCAGGGGCTGCCCCAAAGAAGAGGGAGTCAAGCTATTCTCCAAGGCGCTTGAAGGCAGGACAAGAAGCAACGGGTGGAAACTGATCAAGGAGAGAAGCAACCTAGAGCTTAGGAGAAACTTCCTGACAAAATGATTAATCAGTGGAAGAGCTTGCCTCCAGAAGTTGTGGGTATTACATCACTGGAGGCTTTTAAGAAGAGACCGGACACCCCCTTGTCTGGAATGGTATAGGGCAGTGATGACGAACCTTTTAGAGACTGAGTGCCCAAAACTGGCTCCGTCCCTGCCCCGCCCCCACCCCGCCTGCCCGCAGGGCCACTCACCACCTCCAGGGCCCGCCGCAGATCGCCCAGGCAGCCCAGCAGCACCATGGTGGCCACGCGCTCTGCCTGCGCCCCGCAGCATCAACTGTGTGCGGTGGGGCATGAGGGCAAAGTCTTGTCTACACTGCCTGGCTGTCATGTCCTTGGCTGCGCTGCTCCGTGTGGGCCACGCTCGGAGGCGACTCTCCAGGGGGGCTGCTGGTGAGGGAGTCATGGGGGGAGGCGAGGCTGGGTCAATGGCACCTGTGCCCACAGAGAGGGCTCCGAGTGCCGCCTCTGGCACACGTGCCATAGGTTCGCCACCACTGGTATAGGACAGTGATGGCAAAACGTTTAGAGACCGAGTGCCCAAAAAACAGCCCCGCCCTGGCCCCCGCTCCACCCCTGGTCCCACCCACCCCGTCCCCACCTGCCCTACCCCTGCTCCGCCCCCGCCCATCCCCAGGGCCACTCACCGCCTCCATGGCCAGCCGCAGATCGTCCAGGCGATCCAGCAGTGCCATGGCGGCCACGCCCTCTGCCACGCCCCGCAGCATCAACTGCACGAGACGGGGCGCGAGGGTGGAGTCTTATCCCCACTGACCGGCTGCCACGTCCTTGGCTGCGCTGCTCCGCACAGGCCGTGCCCGGGCGCGACTCTCCTCCCGGGGGGCTATTGGAGAGGAGGGGCCGTGGGGGGAGGCGGGGCTGGGGCGACGGCACGCGTGCCCACAGAGAGGCCTCCGAGTGCCGCCTCTGGCACGCGTGCCATAGGTTCGCCACCACTGGTCTAGGGTCTCCTGCTTGAGCGGCGGGTTGGATTGGAAGACCTCCAGGGTCCCTTCCAACTCTGCAGTTCTATGTTTTATTCTTCACCTACGTCTTTCTGGGGACTCTCCTCAAGCTGTTGCTTACGCTGAACGCTGCTTGCTCCTAAACGTGTCCTTTTAGTTTTCCTGACTCATGGAACTGCTTTCCAGTCTTGGCTGTGCCCTTTAATCCCAACTAAACTGACATTCCTGGATCCCTTCCAAGGAATGGACTTCAAACTGTTCAAGTCTCCGAAGCAACTGGTTTCATTTGCCCTGCACTAACCCGGGCAGTTAATACTTAACTCCCATAAGCTAGCCGGGGAGGATTATTTATTCAGTTTACCGCGTCGGAATCGCAGAAGAGCTGCTGAGAGAATGCTAGCCTTTTATTTGAAGCCTATTGCAAGTGATGTTCATTCGCAGGGCGAGATTGTTTTTTTTTTCGGCAGGAAGCGTTGCACACACACACACACACACACACACCCCCAAGGAAGAACACAGCAGCCTAGAAAAGAGCACATCTCTTTTGATATGTGGTGGGACATAAATCATTCGGCAGACCCCGGTGTGCACTTCTGGCACGCAGTTCTTGTCAAGAGTTTCCAGTCATAGCTGGATGTTTATCTAACCTTGGCTTGGCTCTATACCACCGCAGTTTATGCGCACCTGATCTTTCCTGTTTTGCAGCCCAAGCTGCGGTATAATATCAACACAAATAAACTGAAATATTTGTGCGTTACAAAGTGCAAACATTTCAATGGCTCTTCGCCCACCCTATAAAGCCGTTTCCTCCATTAAGCCAAAGAACTTCAATTTATTGGCAACCATGCCCGGTGTCTACATCAGAGTCATCTCGGGAAGAAGTCGAGATATTGCAGGTTTTTGCTGAAAGAGGTATTGTTATTTTTTTTCCCCCCCAGGGAGCGGATGACGTTGCGGTATCTGTCGTTTATGTAACAGGAGCTGCAGGGAGATTATTATTTGGACCCCCTCCCAGATCTCTTTCCTTTTCAAAAAGCGGCTCGGTCAGGAACTGCCTGTTGGGAGGGGCACGAGGGTTGTGAAGCTGGTACAAACAAGGCATAAACACTTGCGCGGTGGCCTGAATGACCAGGAGGGCCTCTTAAATCAAAAATGAATCTGCCCTGGCCCTTGCAGGTAGTCCTCAACCTAAGACCACAACGGAGCCCAACATTTCCGTTGCTAAGCGAGACAGTTGTTAAGTGAGTTTTGCTTCGTTTTACAGCCTTTCTTGCCACAGCTGTTAAGTGGCTCACTGCAGTTGCTAAGTTAGGGACACGGCTGTTAAGCGAATCTGTCTTCCTCGTTGACGCTGCTTGTCAGACGGTCGCAAAAGGTATACCACAACCGTCATAAACATGAGCCAGTTGCCAAGCATCCAAATTTTGTTCCCGGGACCTTGGGGATGCTGCAACTCTTGTAGGTGTGGAAAATAGTCATATGTCTTTTTTTTTTTTTTTTTAATGCTGTTGTAACTTCAGACAGTCCCTAAATCAGCAGTTCTCAACCTATGGGTCGTGACCCCATTTGGGGTCGATCGACCATTTCATGGGGGTCGCCAAGCAAGGCTGTCCGCCATTTTTTTTTCCCCTTTTCCGGCGGGTGCCTTACCTCCCTTGGGCTGGGCCAGCTGGTGGTCGGCCTGCTCCGTCTCTGCCGCTTGCCAGCTACGCCTCGGCCGGCGCAGGGGGTGGAACCACACATGTGTGGCGCTCCCGGGCAGGGAAAGTCCTCGACTTACGACCGGTTGGGTAGTCCCCGACTTACGACCAGTTTAGTCCTCGACTTACGACCGGTTGGGGGTCGCGGCATTAAAAAGGTTGAGAACCACTGCCCTAAATGAACGCTTGTAAGTAAAGGACACACCTGCCTTCGTGTTTGCTGTTACTAGTCCAAGGCATAATTTTATTCAGGGTGGTATCTGTTGCGCTTTCTCTAATACTCAATTTGATTATCCTGTTGAATTTTCATCAGCCTACTCAGGAAGGACACCCATGCCCATGATATTTGAAATAGTGATGGACTTTGTTTGACTGCTCTGCCCCTTTTCCACTTACCTGTTCAGACCCATTAAGTTTTCTTATTTCCTTCCCCCCTTTTTTTTTTCTCCAGTGGATTCTCTCTGCCTGAGATGGGCACCTCCTAAACACAAGCAAGCCAAGATTTCCAAGAAGTGAAGGAAAAACTGACTTGAAAAACGGAAAGGGTTTGGCTTCACATCTGCTTTTTTTATTTTGGAAGATGTTCACTAATTTAACATTGCTGTCAATCTTGTACTGAAAAGGCATACATGGATCAGGTGGCTTGGGGTTATGAGAAACACCTGAAAACAGGTGGGCTCGTTTGAACGAAGACTACTTATTTTATCCCTCCCCCTTTTTTTTTCTGTTGCTCGATATAGAACTTTCTTTCTTTCTTTCTTTCTAAACTTGGTGTCTTCTCTAAGTCGGAACTGGTATCCTCATTCGTATCATAAAAGGAGCAGATAAATCATTTTATTATTTCTAATTGACAGTTCTAACTGACTTCGGGATGTTACTAATCCCAGAATCAAAGCAGGTCATTCAATATGGCAGAACTGTGGCAGCACGAGACCTGAGCAGTAAATAAACGCAGGGATTGGCTATTTGAAGAGCACATAGTCAACAAAAGTTGGGAGGCCGTGAATTACTAACAGTAATACTGAAAACTAGATTATTGATTATCATAAGAAGGAAGATTGACGTCTCCAAAAGAGATCTCCAACTTAATTGAAATATTGAACAATCAGCCTTGCTCAGCATTTTGAAGAGAGAAAAAAAATCTGTGTCTTCTGTAATTCTTGAGAAAATGGTCCCTCTTGGTAGATCTGTTGTCGTTCTCCATCTCTTCAAAGGGAGGCAAGTAGTTTGTACATTCTATCAAAGCTCATACATGTTCTTAGTTATGCTAGATAAGTAGCTTGAATCCTTCCACTCTTCCACGGCTGTTAGCCAAGTGGGAAAAGAGGGAGAGAATGTTTTCAAGTAGTATCACTTGCTCCACAGTCAACATTTAAGGTCAATGCTGACAAAAATATAAGATGTATTAGAGTTGCAATGCTTGGTAACCCGTAGCACGAGAGTCAGGATTTGGGGGTTAAAGACTCAGGAAAGAGGGAAAGTGGAAATAGGCACATATAAAAGTCCTATGTCCCTTCCGAGGTTGTTCCATAGTGCAGTGTTGGCTTATATGATGTAACTAAAAGGAATTTACCAATTCCTTTTACAGTGCCTCAAAGTAAATGGCTCTTTCTAGGAACAAAACGTTGAACGAGAGCGGTGGGGGGGGGAACATGCTTTTAAATTTAGCTGCCCTTCTAAAAGACAGCCTTTACCCAGATGAATGGACGAACTCCGGATTGGAGAAAACTGACTACAAGGCTATGGTAGAATTACTTGATATTTTCCCCTTCCGTGGCGTGAACCGCATTTGGTGGTGATCAAATGAGGAGGGACTTTTCCAAAAGATCAAAAGTCTCTTGAAGCGATCAAGTGGACCGAAGAGAAAAACTTGTCGCTACTTAACGCCACCGGTTTCCGCTGAGGTCCTTGCCTACGTTCGGTGTTTTGGGGGAGAGTGATTTGGGGAGGGACCCTGAGGCTTGTGGTGGATGTCTTGGGTAGAAACATCTATTCACAGAGTTGCTGTAGTTTTTAATGTGTATACCATATATATATAGTGTGTTCTGCTTAAGAAATATTTTAATAAAAAAAAAACATAACACAAGTACTGTGCCATTTTATGACTAATGTACCAGAATTACACCTGATCATTAATGGTGGCACAATGAAAAAACTAAATGACAAGAAACAACCCTGGGAGAGGAAAACTAGAGGAAAAGATCCTTCTAAAGAAGAGCAATCCCATAGCAGGAAATGAAGACGGCTTGGTATCGATAAGCTTAGGTCACAGAAACTACGTCCTTTTCACAACAGGTAGTTATCACTTGTTACCCTGCTGTGAAGGGGTTAACTAATGCATCTCTTCCTCATTTCCACAAGGTTTGACTAACAGCAGCATGCCAAGATGTTAAATCCTGTCCTAACAGTCAACCTTAATGAAGCCTCACTTGCCAAATATGACTGGGTTGTTTTTCTTGATTAGCCTGGGTCTGGTGACAGTTTTGTGTAAGAATTGCACGTCTATCATAATCCCAAACTCTTGACCAACTCATGCCAAGTATTCATGGTACAGCTCAGGTGAGAAGATCAATTGCATGAGTCATTACGCTCGGCTGTAGACAATCCAGATCCCGGTCGTTTGGCATCTACTTCCTGCATGCCTTTTGGAGAAGTCTACCTGTGTATCTTAATGCCCATAAGCAACTGCTTCGCAATCTGTAAATTTTCTCTAGTTCCCCCTTGACGTTTCTTGTGAGATAAAAACCCACAAAGCTTCCCTTTGGTAATAAATAAACGCCGTTATTAGTGTAGAATTACCAATTTACTTTATTAAAACCCTTCGTCTCGAAAGCAGCAACTGATTTCAATCCTTCTTTAAAAGATGATGTGTACATTGCTCTTTTTTTTTTTAAAGTGTGTGCAAACATAAATTATCTAAATACAATTGCAACCCTCTCCCCCCCCCCCCAGAGGGCAATTTTGATCATCATTGATGTTCCCGCAAAAGAGTCCCACTCCCTTTCATCCGGCGTCCATGCTGGCAGCATTTTTGTCCAAGCATACCTGGAGGGGAAAAAGCAATCCCCTTCATCTCCTTCACATCGGGAGTCGTACTACTCCATAAATCTGTCAGGCTGACAATTGGTAACACAGAAGAGTCGTACTACTCCATAAATCTGTCAGGCTGACAATTGGTAACACAGAACGAAAACCCGCGCCGGGATGGTTATCTCTGAACTGAGGTGTCCACACACAAACAAGAACAGCCCAGAATCTCTGCTCTCAGCCTTCGGCCCAGCTTGGAGGGAATTCCTAAATTACACAGCGGAAACATCCAGAGGCTGCATTTCCACCCCTGCACAATTCCGGCTTAAATCGGGGCAAAACCCGCAAGGCTAGCAGCACGCGCAGAAGTGGGCCTAATCGCCCAGCCAAAGATCAAAAGGCAACAGCTTGGTTTCAAAGTCCCAGCACCTCCGCTGAGTCTTTTTTTTTTTTTTAATTCAGTCTGTGAGCCAGAAGGAGGGGTGGGTAAATACCAAGTCGGAGAGGGAGCCCAGAAGAGAGAGAGAAAAATGAGGGTCAAGTAAACCAAACGTGGGTAGAAGTAGCCCTATAGAATATTATCCCTTTTTCAGAGCTCGGTGGCTGCGCCGTACTTAGCCAACAGTGTTCTTGACCTCTTCCTCATAAGCCAAGATCATAACAGAGCCTAAGAGTAGACCTGCTAACCCTGTGAAAATCCCCCATCCTCCCAAGTTACTAATGGCATGATATACTTGGCAAGACAGGGATCTTTTTAAGAGGGAGACATTTTACGTCAGGGGCCCGTTGTGCTGCTCTCTGAACTATCCAGTTGAGCCAGATATCCGAGCACGATCTCAATTGAATCCTAAAGGAAGAAAGGATTCGGCTGACTGGTTTCTCTTCAAAGGGCTCGCTCAACTTTGGTCCTCTGAACAATGTCCCAACTATTGTGGAGGGCCTTGCCTTCACGGCAACAGTCAGGAAGGCTACACATTCACATTCTGAGCAGGCAAGGAGGAACTGGGCAAGGAAAGGAACCTGTCTTGAAACCGATCACGTTTCAAAACGTGTGCCAGGAATGCAATTGGAGAAGAGCGCCAGATACTCAACAGAGAGAGATGAGTCATACCGTTCCGGAATTTGCCTAAAAAAGGAGACTAGGCTCCCACTGACTTACAAAATTAGGTCCGCAGTAGCAAAAGAGAGGTTTATTACAGATGTGTATCCAGCTATGATTTTTAAAAAAGGCCAAGCAAGTCGTGGGCAGTGGGGAAGGGGCAAAAAAAAAAGAGATACTCCTGGAAATTATGAATTAGAATCAGGGGTAGTCAACCTTGGCTCTTTTATGACTCGTGGACTTCAACTCCCAGAATTCCTGAGCCAGCTAAGCTGGCTCAGGAATTCTGGGAATTAAAGTCCACGAGTCATAAAAGAGCCGAGGTTGACTACCCCTGAATTAGATCCTCAAGAGTAAAAAAACAGGGATAGGAGTGAAGTGTGAACTTTTTTAAAAAGCCACATGCGAGACCCAAGACCGCAGGTGGATGGACAAGAGGCACGCGCGATGACCACCTCAGGAGTCTTGTCTGGGCTTCGGAGGAAGAGTACCGCTTCCTAATGGAATCCCGCTGCGTTCTTCTCCGCACCCCAAGCGTGCAGAGAGAAAGCTGGAAGCACACAGCAGGCAATGAAATAGTGAGACCATCCCCAGGAGGATAAAAAAAAACAAAAAAACAGGAAGACAACCACACTCCCTGCGCAACTTGGGGTGGGAGTAGAAAATTACCACAGCCAGCTCTGGAAGAGGAGGAGGAGGAGAAGTGGTAGACCAACCATGCAGGGTCTGGAAGGGGAACCGTTGGGACGGCTCTTGTCCGGGGTAAGGGGCCGGTTCCAGCCTGGTGAGGGCTGGAGGTCGTCATAGGGGCCTCCCCCTCCTGTAGAATTGGAGCACAAGGCCTCTTCGGGGATGGGCCTTGGAGGAACTGTCACTTGTTGAAGCTGTACTTCTGGGACTTTCCCCTTAATCCAGTCGGTGTAGACAGGAAGGCGGATGTAGACGCCCGGTCTATTGGCGGCCCCACAGTTGTCTCCCCAGCTCACCACGCCAGCAAGGAACCAGGCCTTGTCAACAAGACAGGAAAGGGGGCCTCCGGAATCACCCTAAGAAAAAAAGGAATTAAAGTCAAGTTGGGGTCTTTTTTGGGGGGGGGACAGAGAGTTGCAAAGGAAAAGAAGTAGGGACTCCGTAAGCATGCTCTCTGACAATACGAAGAGGGATCGGAAATGGAGAGAGGTTACAAGCAGTGCTTTTCAAACCGGGTAACTTTTTAAGATGTGTGGACTTCCAACTCCCAGAAATTCTCAGCGCTCTGGGAATTCTGGGAGTTGAAGTCCACACAACTTAAAGAGTGGCTAAGGTTGAGAAATGCTGGTCTAGCCTAAAGCTCTGAAAAACCCAACTGTTTATTAGCCTCGCTTGATAAAGAAATGCTCTCTCGTGCAATCCGAGTAAAATGACTGAGAACTCCTGCAGTTTTCAGGACCTCGTGTCCTACCACCATCACCACCACACTTGGCCAATGAATGGCACCCCCAACCACTTCTCCTCTCAGTGGCCTCACCTGACAGGCATCCTTCTTGCCTTCCGCAAAGCCAGCACACATCATGTCATTGTGGAGGGTGTGGGGCTCCTCAGGATCTGGGTTCCTTCTGTACAGGCACTTGCAGGTGTCTAGACCAATGATGGGCACTTCGAGTTGTTGAAGTGTCATAGGTGAGGGAAGACTCGCTACAGGGAAGGAGACAGTATAGCGTCAGTGTGGAAGCAAGGCCTCCCAAAGGATGTATCTCTAAGCGTTAAGTAGGAGGGACTGTCTTCCCTTGGGTGGGGAACCCAAACTAAGAAATGCTAGATTTCAGAACTTCCTGGAAGCCAAGTGGTCCTCCTCTACAACTGCTGACCAACCTCAGGTAACCAAAAGAGTATCTCCTCCTGGATTAATCCAACGTGGTTCTTAGCCCAGCACTTTCTCTCTCCCAACCAGATGTCTCTGGAAAGCTCCCAGAGCTAAGCCTGACTCCTTCTGTCATTACATCGCAGCTACCCTTTGTAGACTCCCTGTTTCCGACCCAGAAATAACATTACGTCTTCAAGACCACCAGTTCTTGATGGAGCTATTGTCCCTGAATGTCCCCAGTCCCCATCCAGTCCAGTAACCATCCCTATTCTTCTGGTAATGGACTCCACAGATCAATTACGGGCAGCGTGAAGAACGCCCTTTCTTTTCTCTATTCTAAATCTCTTCCCAGCTTCATTAGAGTCTTCCTGATCCAACTTTTTCCAGAGAAGAAGACAATCTCCCTGTCCATATTCTCCATGCCATATGTGACTTCCTATACCTGGATCAGTCGACATTTTTCCAAGCTAAACCATCCCAAACCGTTTCTTTTTCTAAAGCCTTTTCCTGTAAAGGAGGCATTTGGGCATTCTGAACGTTGACTTACATTCATCTGCATTTTCCCATTAATGGCTTCAAACTATTATCTAGGACAGTGATGGCGAACCTTTTAGAGACCGAGTGCCCAAACTGCAACCCCAAACCCACTTATTTATCGCAAAGTGCCAGGGCTGCATCAGCATTGTGGTGCCCTTGGGAGGGGGCAGGGAGGTGCCTCTGAGTGCCGCCTCTGGCACGCAAAATCTGGGGGCGCAAAAATGGGCCACCGTGCTGCAAGGCGCAAAAACGGGCGCTGCCGCACCGCGGGGTGCAGATACAAGGTGCTGCACCACGCAAGAACAGGGCAGGGCTAGTGAGTATCACGCAGGCACTAGCCCCACCCCATTTGCAGCACGTGCATGCTCGCGGCCCTGTGCACGCATGCACGCATGTAAAATGCTTCCCCCTCCCTTTTCTTCCAGTCCACCAATCGACAATGGTTGGTGACCTCTGCTCTACCACCTCTACTCAAGCTTGCTAGTCGGCTGCTTCACCTCCTTTGTGCTGGGCAGGGCTCCTGCTCCGGGCGGCGGGGGCGGCCTGATGGACCTGCTGCTGGCGGCGGTGGCGCGTGTGCCAACCGAGAGAGCGCTGAGTGACGCCTCTGGCACACGTGCCATAGGTTCACCACCACTGGTTTAGGAGAATCTGGCACTATAATTTCTGGCAACTAGGGCTGTTTGCAGCTCCTCAAAGCTATGACTGCCTTCTCTAGAAGTTTTCCAACTGCTGCTCTGTCTTTATTATCCGTGCACTACTAAAATTCCCCTGTTCATCTGTTTGTAACCTTTAATTGGGCAAAGCAGCGCATTGTAGGGCAATTTTTTTTTTTAATTATCCTACCTTGAATGAGCTAACTTAAAGAAAGCGTCCAAATCCAGGACCTATTATTCTGTGGGATTGAGATTTGGCCAAGTCACAGGATTGCCATTTCCAATGCTCCCTGCCAGCTTCCCACAAGTCATTGGGGAAGCCAGCAGAAAGTCGGAATTTGCTCCCACTGTTTTTCTGCCTGCCAATGGTCATTCTGTTTCTCAGTTTAGTTAATATCTCTCACACAATAACCCAACCGGTTCATGGATTGTCAATGATCATTATTACTAGAGGATGTCTTCTTTTATTTTCTTTTACATATTTATACCCTGGCAAGCTCCTCTTATTTTTGATTTTTAAAAAACGGTTCTTCTTCTTGTTGTTATGCCATATCCGTTATCGGACGTTGGCGATCACGTTGGCGATCCTGTTTTTATCAGCAGCTGCACGAAAAAGTGCGGCAGAGTTTTATCCCAACCAGTCCCTTAGATTTTGAAGCCACGATGTTCTTCTTCTGCCTGGACCTCGTTTGCCTTCCATCTTTCCCTGGAAGATTAAATAGAGTATGCCATATTTTTCTGGGTGTCGCATCACATGTCCGAAATATTCTAATTTTCATTTTTTAATTGTTTTGATGATTTCCCTTGGCTTTCCCAGGCGGCTAATCACCTCCTCATTTTTGATCCTGTCAACCCAGCTTATACGTAACAGCCGCCTGTAGATCCACATTTCAAATGCTTCTAGTCTCTTCAGGCGGCCTTCTGTCAGAGACCAACTCTCTACTCCATAGAGCAGGATAGGAAAAATATAGAATCTGACAAGCCTGATTTTAAGTCTTAGGCTTATGTCGTGACTGCAGAAGACCTTTTTCATTTTGAAGAATGCTGTTCGGGCTTTTCGGGCTTTTTAGACAAGGATAAAAAACGGATGCCATAGAAATATAGGTAGTTCTCGACCAGGACCACAATGGAACCCAAACTTTCTGTTACTAAGACAGCAATTTGTTTTGCCCCGTTTTAAGACGTCTCTTGCCAGACTTGTTAAGTGAAATCACTGTGGTTGTTAAGTCAGCAACACGGTTGTTAAGTGAATCTACCTTCCCCATAAACATCGCTGGTCAGAAGGGTGCAAAAGGTCATCACATGACCCCAGGATACTGCAACCGTCATAAATGTGAGTCGGTTGCGAAGCATGTCAATTTTGATCACGTGATCCCGGGTATGCCGCAACGGTCGTTAAGTGTGAAAAATAGTTCCAAGGCACTTTTTTTCAGTGCCATTATAACTTTGGTCACTAAATGAACTGTTGAAAGTCAAGGACTACCTGTAAAATGTTGGACACCCAAAATCAACTGCTCTAATATTAAACTGGACAAACATCATTTGGGATAAGAAGGGAATCCTGAATGTGGAAGAATTTGCAGCAAGGGAACCTGCATTAGATAGAAGCGGTTCACCATTTCAGATATATCAGCATCCTTGCATACTTTAAATCAGCCGCCTGGGAACGCCGAGGGAAATCATCAAAACAATTAAAAAATGAAAATTAGAATATTTCGGACATGTGATGCGACACCCAGAAAAATACGGCATACTCCATTTAATCCTCCAGGGAAAGATTGAAGGCAAACGAGGTCCAGACAGAAGAAGAACATCATGGCTTCAAAATCTAAGTGACTGGTTGGGACAAAAGTCAGCAGCACTTTTTCGTGCGGCTGCTGATAAAAACAAGATCGCCAACGTGATCGCCAACGTCCGATAACGTATATGGCACAAGAAGAAGATGGCATCCTTTGGGTACAACTGAAGCTACAAGCGCCACATTTATCCCGCTAGCTGGTGAGAAATTCTGGGATTTATACTACCACACCACCCAAAGGCGCTAGGTTTGGCAAAGAATAAGGATTACAGCCCTAGGTGGAATCTTTAGATAAAAATCTTTTGTCCTTACTAGCTGCAAGAACATTCCCCCAGCCGGTGACGGTGCAGGTCATGCCCTGTGGGAAGGTGACCGAAGAGGCAGGCAGGCAGATCGGCCGGACAGTCCGAGAATATGTAATGGGGGTTTTGAGTTTCACCAGGGCAATGTCCCCTTGAGAGCCTGCATCTTCATTGAAGTCAGGATGCTTAATCACCTCTTCTACTAGCGTCACTTGGATGTCTGGTGAGGGGTTTTTCAGCTGGAAGGACCCCAGTGTCACTTCATACATATCGATCAGATTCACCCTGCAGAGAGGAAGCTGGTTTACATCATTTCTGAGATTCTAAGACTGTAAGATCATCCCAAGTGCACTTAGATCCACCCTTCTCTTTCCAATGAGGGTCAAACAGATTCCCTAGTTCAGGGGTAGGCAACCTTGGCTCTTTTATGACTCGTGGACTTCAACTCCCAGAATTCCTGAGCCAGCCATGCTGAGGGGAAAGGGAGAGGTTTCCAAGCTGAGCCAGGCTGGCTCAGGAGTTCTGGGAATTGAAGTCCACGAGTCATAAAAGAGCCAAGGTTGCCTACCCCTGCCCTAGGAAGTAAGGCAATAATAATCTACCTTTTTCCCCGCAATGTTTAAATATATCCTACTTCTTAACAGTAAGACTGCATCAAGCTAGTATGACACATAGCCACAAACTGAACTGTACAGGTAGTCCTTGACTTACAACTGTTCATTTAGTGACTAGTCGAAGTTACAATGGCACTGAAAAAAGGGACTTATCGCCATTTTTCACACTTACGACCATTGCAGCATCCCCAGTGCCGTTGTAATCTTGAACGGCCACTAAGCAAGTTGTTGTAAGTCAAGGACTACCTGTACTTTCCTACTACTACTTTGCTCACAACCAACCTTGGAGGTGGGTTAGGCTGAGAGAGAATAATTGGCCCAAAGTCACCCAGCCAGCTTTCATGCCTAAGGCGGAACTAGAACTCACTGTCTCCTAGAGATTGGCTCAAAGTCACCCAGCCAGCAATAATAATAACAACAACAACATTGGAAGAGACCTTGGAGGTCATCTGGTCCAACCCCCTGCTCAGGCAAGAAACCCTATACCAGGGGTCTTCAAACTTGGCCCTTTTATGACTTGTGGACTTCAACTCCCAGAATTCCTCAGCCAGGTACGCTGGTGAGGAATTCAGGGAGTTGAAGTCCACAAGTCATAAAAGGGCCAAGTTTGAAGACCTCTGCCCTATACCATTTCAGACAAATAGCTGCCCAGTTTCTTCTTAAAAACTGGAGTTGGAGTTAAAAAAAGGGCTGGAGCATTCACAACTTCTGGAGGCAAATTGTTCCACTGATTAATTGTTCTAACTGTCAGGAAATTTCTCCTTAGTTCTAGGTTGCTTCTCTCCTTGATTAGTTTCCATCCGTTGCATAGAATAATAATAATAATAGTAAAGTTGGAAGGGACCTTGGAGGTCATCAAGTCCAACCCCCTGCTCAGGCAGGAAACCCTAAACCGTTTCGGACAAATGGCTGTCCAGTTTCTTCTTAAAAACTTCCAGTGTTGGAGCATTCACCGCTTCTGGAGGCAGGTTGTTCCACTGGTTAATGGTTCTAACTGTCAGGAAGTTTCTCCTTAGTTCTAGGTTGCTTCTCTCCTTGATTAGTTTCCACCTGTTGCTTCTTGTCCTGCCTTCAGGGGCTTTGGGGAATAGCTTGACTCCCTCTTCTTTGTGGCAGCCCCTGAGATATTGGAACACTGCTATCATGTCCCCCCTCATCCTTCTCTTCATTAAACTAGACATACCCAATGCCAGCAACCGTTCCTTGTATGTTTTAGCCTCCAGTCCCCTAATCATTTTTGTTGCTCTTCTCTGTACTCTTTCTAGAGTCTCAACATCTTTTTTTACATCGTGGTGACCAAAACTGGATGCTTAAGACAGGACTAGAACTCACAGTCTCCTGGTTTCTACCCTGGTGCCTTCACCACTAGACCAAACGTTCAAGGGATACTTGACTTACTTGGGGAAGCAATGTGCAGCTGTAACCAACCACTGGGGGGCAATGAGCGTTGCCCCACAGGCATGATTACCATTGAAGTTCAGGTTGGCCTGCCATGGCCACTGTCCGCTTCGAGCATCAGAACCGCCCACGATCCGTCCCATGGCAGGCACTCCACACAACACTGCAGACAGATGACATTTTCATGAGTGGGGGAAAAAAAGTCATTCTAGAAGTCATTGCATTGCCTCATTCATTGTTGGCCGTCAAGTATAGCCGTGGGATAAATTAGGAGTATGCTTCTGTTCCAGGGGAACTTAATAAGAAATATAATCAACAGCTACGAAATCTCTGTCCTTTACTTTAACAGCGCCTTCCTGTTTTTATTGCGGAAAAGGTAACGTGTGGAAGCACATGCCCGTAGTTACTTCAGTCTCGAAGGCCAAGAATAAATAAGTGAGACTCCCATTTTGAAAAGTCACAGAATTGAGGATTCCCATAGAAAGAAATATGATCATTAAACTATGATTGTTAGGGAAAAAAAAACCAAATCAGGATTTGAAGAGGGGAGGGCAGAGTTCAATTAGCCAGCAGGAAAACAGGAAAGGTAAGAGGACAGGTGGAATGTGCAACGTTCACAAATCTCTTACCTTGTGTGCTGGCCTCTTTCATGACTGCAGAATAGAAACAGGAACAAAACATGAAACAAAAGGGGGAAAAAACAATATTAGAAGGACATAAAGACACCTTGTAATGTCTCGGTTATGCTTCTTGTTTATGAAAAGTGGTTTATATAAACCACTTTTCATAAACAAGAAGGACACTCCTTTTCCCATTCCCATACAGGAAGTCCTCAACGTACAGTCACTTAGAGTTATGGTGGAGCTACCTGAGTGTACTTACAACTCGGATGCAGCTTTCCAGCGAACCACTGCTTCAGTTAACAACCACTTAATGACCATCACATAAAGTCATAAAGTTGGATTCCTCACGTGGGTAACCCAACTGACTACGATCACAGGTTATAACCATGATGGGAAAGCTGCATCCTGATCTAGGATCATAATTGAGCCCAAAATTTCTGCGACTAAGCGAGAGACTTCTTAAGGGAGTTTTGCCTCATTTTACGACCTTTCTTGCCACAGTTGCTCAGTGAATCCCTGCAGTTAAGTTAGTAACATGGTTGTTAAGCGAATCCGGCTTCCCTATTGACTTTGCTTGCCAGAAGGTCACAAAAAAGCGATCACGTGACCCCGGGACACTGCAACCGTCATAAATATGAGTCAATTGCCAAGCGTCTGAATTTTGATCACATGACCGTGGGGCTGCTGCAATGGTTGTAAGTGTGAAAAATGGTCATTAAGTCACTTTTTTCAATGCTGTTGTAACTTAGGATGGGTACTAAACAAATGGCTGAAAGTCAAGGATTGCCTAACTACACCTGTAGTGCGTTGCTTTAATGTACACAGGAAGTCAATTTTCCCTCGATTCTATTGGCCGTGTGGCCTTAACTCAGACATGTCAAACAAAAGGCCCGGGGGCCGGATGCGGCTCGCGAAGTGGTTTCATGTGGCCCGCGAAGCCATCCTGGACACAGTGAGGGAACGGCCCCCGCTGTCTTGGCCCTGGCCCAGGCCAGCCGGGAGCCAATGTACAATGTTGTGGTGGCCATCTATGCTGAAACGCATTCAGTCTTAGCTCCACAAGGCCGTCTGGAAACAGCGAGGAACCAGCCCCTGCCGCGTTGGCCCCGCCCCCTGGGTGCATGCTGGGGAGGTGTCACCCTTTGTGAGGAATGAAGAAATGGACCATGCCTTGGCGCTTGCCCCGGTCCCACCCTCTTCTGCCAGAGACCCTCAGATCTGTCCCACTCCTGCCCAGGCCCCCACAGGCCCCCTTGACGCGAACGATGTAGAGCTGGCCACGCCCACCCAGTAGGCCACACCCACTCTGTCCATGCCCACCCAGTAGGCTGCACCCCCCCTGGCCACACCCACCTGCCCCCCCCTAGGGCAACCGCAATGCTGATGCAACCCTCAATGAAATTGAGTTTGACACCCCTCTTAACTCTTTAATCTGGTCTTAATTTGGGCCCAAAGCTGGGCCACAACTTTTCTTTAGAAGCATCTTGGAGAAAAATGAATTGAGCACACTACACCAGCGGTTCTCAACCTATGGGTCGCGACCCCATTTGGGGTCGATCGACCATTTCACGGGGGTCGCCAAGCAAGGCTGTCCGCCATTTTTTTCCCCTTTTCTGGCGGGTGCCTTACCTCCCTTGAGCTGGGCCAGCTGGTGGTCGGCCTGCTCCGTCTCTGCCACTTGCCAGCTATGCCTCGGCCGGCGCAGGGGGCGGAACCACACATGCACGGCGCTCCCGTGAAGGGAAAGTCCTCGACTTACAACCGGTTGGGTAGTCCTTGACTTACGACCGGTTTAGTTCTCGACGTACGACCGGTTGGGGTTGCGGCATTAAAAAGGTTGAGAACCACTGCACTACACCTAAGAACTCGCTCAGGATACCTTCCCAAGCCCCTCTGCCTCGAACAGCGGGGCAACGGGTGGAAATCCAGCAGCAGTCTCCTTGAAGGAAGCTGCCCTCATCCCGTGCATTCTGCCTCTTTCACAAGATGCAGGAAACAGATCATAAAATATAAAGCCGCAACCATTTCTAGAGCAAAAGTCCCGTAGCAGACGGTATCAAAGCCCGTGTACTTTTCATTTTAGAAATTACACCGGGTGATATCATCAAAGTGACAGAGAGAGAAAGGTGATTTCTCGCCGGCTTTTCCAAGGTTTCTTCCTGAGGTTGCGCTAAGGGATCTGAGTCAGTCTCTTCTCTGCTCCTGCCCGGATTTCTCTTGCGGCAACTCTGCTTCCCGAGAATTTTATTTCCTGACCTGCGAGGCTACACCGAGCCAGAATGCGACAACTTGCCACGGCCAACTCACCGCGGGACAATTCAGTAATTCAATTTGATTATTTAAAATTATTTTAAATATTATTTTAATTTTTGTCGTTCGGACTTCATTTTGTCCCGCCTTTTGGCATCCTTTCTTTGATGATTCTATTCCACCATTTCTTCGATATTAGTGTAACTCTTCTCCCGTGGTGAGTTGGCCATGTCGAGTTGTCCTAGACCAGGGGTAGGCAACCTTGGCTCTTTTATGACTCGTGGACTTCAAATCCCAGAATTCCTGAGCCAGCATGGCTCAGCTTGGAAACCTCTCTCTTTCCCCTCAGCATGGCTGGCTCAGGAATTCTGGGAGTTGAAGTCCACGAGTCATAAAAGAGCCAAGGTTGCCTACCCCTGTCCTAGACCCCTACCAAACTTCTCTGAAGTCCATTCCAGTTTCAGCGGCATCAGGAACATAGGAAACATGGCCAAATCTTCTTCTTCTTCAATGCTCATTTCACCACTAACCCTATCATGCCTCACTGGCTGAAGGCTGAACCATGATAAGCAAAATTAAAATTAAACAAGCAGATTAAAGACCCAAGGAAGAAGGTGCATCAGCATACAACAAGGGCACTTCTGAAGCCCTGTTTTCAATAGTCAATCTCTCAAAAGCAGTTTAACAGAATAACAGCATTGGAAGGGACCTTGGCGGTCTTCCAGTCCAACCCCCTGCTCAGGCAGGAAACCCTATACCAGTTCAGACAAATGGCTGTCCAATCTCTTCTTAAAAACCTCCAGTGTTGGAGCATTCACCACTTCTGGAGGCAGGTTGTTCCACTGGTTAATTGTTCTAACTGTCAGGAAATTTCTCCTTAGTTCTAGGTTGCTTCTCTCCTTGATTAGTTTCCATCCGTTGCTTCTCGTCCTGCCTTCAGGCGCTTTGGAGAATAGCTTGACTCCCTCTTCTTTGTGGCAGCCCCTGAGATTTTGGAACACTGCTATCATGTCACCCCTAATCCTTCTTTTTATTAAAGTAGATGTACCAAATTCCAGCAACCAGCAATCTTTATATGTTTTAGCCTCCAGTCTCTTAATCATCTTTGTTGCTTTTCTCTGCAGTCTTTTTAGAGTCTCAACATCTTTTTTAAATTGTGGAAACCAAAGCTGGATGCGGTATTCCAAGTGTGGTCTTACCAAGGCATTAGAGAGTGATATTAACTCTTCTCGTGATCACTGAATCGCTCTCCTGAATCTCTGCCCTGTCCCAGTCCTGCATTGTCAAAATATCCTCTCAGCTCCATTCCACACAAAAGTGAAAATATATTACTTATATGCACCTATCCACATCCTTTTTTTTGTTATATATATTTTGTTTTATCAACAAGAATTAAATGCAAAACAGAAAAACATAACTAATAACAAAAAGAGGGGGGGAATTGTGGACAAAAAAGGGGGGGGAAATGACCCAAATATCAAATAAATCTAAGATCAAACATAATCCACCCCGGCTGGATGCTGAAAATAAAAATAAAAAAACCCTGATAGATTCTCCTCCCCTTACATCAGGGGTTCCCAACCGGGGGTGCGAGAAGATATTCCAGAGGGTGCGATAACTTGGGTTTAGAAATTTCAAAATTATAGTGTATATGCATAATTCGTTGCCGTTATTTCGAACTTTTGTAAGGGATGCGAGAATATATCAGAAGCGTTCTAAGGTTGCGGGGTATAGAAAAAGTTGGGAACAAGTTTTATTAAGTTTTTTATTAAGTTTTTACAACAAAGTGCTTAGGAAGCAACGTGGTGATCAGGTAATCAATTATCCAAAAAACCAAAACATTTATATATAAAATGTTCTATAAAAAAAAAGAAAAGAAAAAGTTGGGAACCACTGCTTACATAATGGATCTACAGATAGTTATAAGCTTTCCCATCCTTATTTAACAAAAATACTATATTTATTAAATAAATGAATATTCCAGATGAGGGGATCTCTATCTGATAATCAAATCAACCACACCCATCCACGTCCTTATTTTCATATCATGTGTATCATGATTGGTTTCTGCATGTGCAATACAAGAACATTCCAGAGAATTCCAGAACATCCGTTCCTCCTCAGAGGGGAGCTTCCCAATTATTCTGAGGGTGGTTCAGTCCTTCTCCAAAAATTATCTTCTCTACCTAGAAATGGTTTGTGATGCCCGGGATAGGGGATAGGTTTTGCATTAATTAGCCTTGTTCTATGTGTAATACACACATCGCAGCGAAATGGGCGGCAAACAAATTGAATAGATAAATAAACAACATATCTAAACAGTTCTTAAGAAGGGGAGCTGCAAGGTCATCAAGCAAGCCCTGCAAAAGTGGCCGAGGCTCAGAAGATGGGAGGTGAACTGAGGCAAAATTCTTACAAATGGAGAATGAACCCACCCACCCCCCATCCCCACTTCATAGAGTCATGGTGTTTCAAAGAAAAAATGAAAAGAAAATGTTATTTTTTTCTGTTGTTTCAACTATTCCATTGCTGAACCACAAATAAGTCTGAGGGGTTCCTTGTTGCTCTCTGAGTTCGGTTGTCTTCTTGAAGACATTTCATTACCCAACTAAGTAACATCATCAATTCTAGCGCTGAATATCATCATACCTAGCACTAATGAGATTGGATTAATAAAACATCTGCAAGAAAACCACCAAGATCAGACCGCACCAGGGATCCCACAGTTCAGCCCTGAGCCACAAATATTCTCTTCTATTGGTATAAATAAGTCTGTTCAG